ATTATTAATATTATACAATAGTATTATTACTAGTATTATGTACTAATATAGTAGTAGTATTATTAGTATTATATATTATATACTAATATTATTATTACTATATATTATATAATAGTATTATTATTAGTGTTATATATTATATACTAGTGTTATTATTAATATTATATACTATATAGTAGTAGTATTATTATATACCAGCGTCATTATTACCAGTATTACATATACAGTGTCATTATTACCCAGTAAGTGTAAGCTAGAGTAAGTTATAGTATTACTATTGTTTATTGGAATAAGTTATCTCGTCATTTTTGTAACGCGGTCGACAATCCGTCGATTGATCGGCAATCGGCGTGGCGATCTGACGAACTTCCCGTCTCTACGGAAGGGAGTACGACACTTGCCGGCGAAAAAGTGCTCGACTTACCGGCCAGACACGTGTGCCGACGAAACTGCAGGAAACCGTCCGCGCATGCGCACAAGCCGTCCAAGCAGCCGCTGTTGGCTACTTTCAGGGTGCATTGCTCGTCGACCAGGCACTCCTCGCCCAACAGAGTCGCTTCGAGAAATGAAACAGCGCTCGTTGTTACGCGGGCTGAATCGAACGCGACGCTGCGAATCGCGAACTAATTCTCACCCTCGAGGCAGTAGGTGCGATTGTACGCGGCGAAGTATGGCAGACAGCGGCAGTGGCCATGGTCGCAGTGACTACCCTCGATCCTCGACTGGCATTCCGCGTCCCTGCTGCACCGATCGTCCAACTTGGCGCCAGGCGTCCTCGAGCCACCGGTCGCCCCCTGAAATCCATTCGTTCCAGCTCGAATCTATTTTCCGAAACCTGTCTCTGTTCTCCATTTTTCCAACGTTTCGTCGTTTCCTGCTTTCCGGGCGCCCCACTCGACTCTGCTTCCTGTCCCGTCGCCTCCTACCACCGTTTCTCATCTCATCGTCGAACAATAAGCGCGCAGCGAACGAAAGCGCCGGGTCACGCGTAAGAAAAACGCGGAAGCGGCAAGCTGGGTAGAGAGGAAGACGATAGAAAGACGTGGAAAGAGTACGCAGTCTGAACGCACAACGTGTTGTTCCATGCCGGACCGGGTTAGGTTTTTTTTGACTAGTTTTCGTTTACGTTGTCACGATTGATAGCTTTGCTTCTGGAGTGTGTCTTGCAATTTTTATAATTGTGCAGAATAATAATACTAAAACTAACAATACTGGACTGAATGATGCTGAAACTAACAATACTAAACTGAATGATGCCGAAACTAACAATACTAAACTGAATAATATTGAAACCAACAATACTAGACTATAGAATAATACTAAAAACCAACAATACTAAACTAAATAATACTAAAACTAATAATTCTAAACTAAATAATACTAAAACTAACAATACTAAACTAAATAATACTAAAACTAACAATATTAAACTAAATAATACTAAAACTAAGAATTCTAAATTATAAATAATGCTAAAACCAACAATATTAAACTAAATAATACTGAAACCAACAATACTAATCTAAATAATATTGAAACCAACAATACTAGACTAAATAATACTGAAAACCAGCAATACTAAACTAAATAATACTAAAATTAATAATTCTAAACTAAATAATACTAAAACTAACAATAGTAAACTAAATAATACTAAAACCAACAATAGTAAACTAAATAATACTAAAACCAACAATATTAAACTAAATAATACTAAAACTAAGAATTCTAAATTAAATAATGCTAAAACCAACAATATTAAACTAAATAATACTGAAACCAACAATACTAAACTAAATAATACTAAAGCCAACAATACTAGACTAAATAATACTGAAAACCAACAATACTAAACTAAATAATACTAAAACTAATAATTCTAAACTAAATAATACTAAAACTAACAATAGTAAACTAAATAATACTAAAACCAACAACATTAAACTAAATAATACTAAAACTAAGAATTCTAAACTAAATAATGCTAAAACCAACAATATTAAACTAAATAATACTGAAACTAACAATACTAAACTAAATAATACTAAAAACCAACAATATTAAACTAAATAATACTGAAACCAACAATACTAAACTAAATAATATTGAAACCAACAATACTAAACTAAATAATACTAAAACTAACAATGCTAAACTGAATAATACTAAAACTAACAATTCTAAACTAAATAATACTAAAACTATAATTATCAAGAAAAATGTCTTGAAAAGTTTAAGATGCATTACAGAACGAAGCAATAAATTTCCTTTCAAGACTGATTCGGATGATTAGGAATCTTGGAAAAGTTTTGGCGATGAGTAGAATTCAATGCAAACAAAGAAAAAAAAAAAAAACTTTGACCTTTATAAATTTAAAGTCAATTTCACACTTTTCATTCCAGCCCATGTACGTGAAAAGAGAGCAACAAACAAAATCGAAATAACAAATACAGGGTGGGCCGGAATTCAGGGTACAGCCGAACAGAGGGTGATTCTACGTCAAAAAATGAGAAAAAAAATTTGGTATAACTTTTTTTATCTGGCGCTCGATTTTCGAGAGAGGATCGACTTTAAAGTTTGTTCATCTTTGTGAACGATTTAGTTGTCTATTCTTCTACAGCGTAGTTGTCTCCGTCCGGGACAGTGTTTGCAAACATTATTTATTGAGTGATTAAAGCAGTACAAAGTGTCCCTACTGATAATTAATTTTTTATTCCTTGTTACTACTTTCTATCGCAGCGCTACAACACAGTACACTGTTACAAGTATCGTTGAAAATGTCCTCCTCGTTGCTGCATACACAAGTTTGCTCGACGAATTGATGATGTCTGAACAGAATGTAAGCCAATGTCGTTTTTCAATTTCTCGAATTTTTCCATAATCGTTTGCTTCGAACGTGCGAACGTTTGAAATGTTGTCTTTATAAACTTGTTCTTTCACATGCCCCCATAAAAGAAAATCTAGAGGCGCGAGGTCCGGGGACCTTGGGTGGCCAACGTGCCTTACCATCGCGGTAGATCCAACGCGAATACGTTTGATTTAAAAAATTTTCAACCTCCGTCGCGTGACGTGGCGGTGCACCGTCATGTTGGAAAATCATACTCCTTACAGTAGCCAAGGGTACATCCTCTAACAACGAAGGCAATTCGTTGCGTGGAAACTCAAAGAACGAACAAACTTTAATGTCGATTCCCTCGAAAACCGAGCGCCAGATAAAAAAAATGTTGTACCAAATTTTTTTCTTATTCTCCGAACGTAGAATCACCCCTCGCTCGGCTGTACCACAAATTCCGGCCCACCCCGTATACGTCGAGCGAGTACGTGACAAAAGAAAAGAGAGAGAAGAACGAAAGATGCGACATTTGCGTCCCGACTGTGTGTAACGCAGTCGCGTGACATGCACCGTTAGTCAGATGTTGCTCGCCAGCCAAAGTTTCGTTACTAAAAGAAGTCAGGAGTTACAGCTACTTGCTTTCGCCGCTGCGAAAAGCAAGTGCGTCTTTTCCTCCGAACCACCCTTTTCACCGTGTCTCCAAAACCCCTTGGCCCTTCTCATTTTCTCTCCTCAAGCGCCGCATTATCAAACCTTGCGCCGATTCTCGCCCACTTTTCGGATCGTTCGGATCGTTCGAAACGAAACTCACCAAACGGTCGATCGTGATCGCCAACAGAAGAAGAAGAAGAAGAAGGACCGCCGTCGCTTCGCCGTTTCCGCGCATCGTCTCTCCTCTTTCTCCTACGCGCGGCACCAAGCGCGCGACGATTGTATCGGTAAACGAACGAAACCGATTCTACAGGTACGACTGTGTATCTCGCGCACGGTTATTCTATACGCGTGAACTGCTGGCAAGTCTCTTCTTCGTCCGCGCGTCCTTCCAAATGACTGAAGGCAAACTGAACGGCCCTCCTGCGCTGCTTTCGGCCCCCGTGCACCAACGGGATGGAAAAGCGGACATAACCGTGTTCCCTCCGCTCTCCCACTCTTCTTTACCACGCTCTCCGTCTCCTACTTTGTCTCTCGGTCTCTCTGTCTCCTCTAGTCTTTTTTTAGTCTCCACTTGCGCTTCCTTTTCCGCATTTTTTTTTTTTCCACCACTGAAACTGACAGAGTCAACCTTTGAAAACGGTTCTCCACGCGCCACGGGAGAATCACTTCGAGTCAGCGATCGAGTTACCGACAATTCGTATCAATCCGGAGACAGATGAGGAGAGGTGTCGCGAGAAACGAATACGATTCGGGTCACGCGCCACGAAATTCATTGGTATTCCGGTGCGAAACGAACAACCGACTCCGTTCCACCCCCTTCCCTTCTTCCTGCTCTGTTCTGCTCGATCGTTTCGTTTTGTTTCGTTTCTAGTACAATCTACCGGTGCATCTACCGCTGCGGCAGAAGGTGGTTTTCGTCAATTTCTGGTTCTGTCGGATGATTGATAGCGCGAGCAAAACGGTATCGCCGTCCCACCAGCAACCCTTGGTCAACTTGATGGCGGCGCTGCGCCGGACGGATCGTCGCACTTGCGACGCTTTCTTTCGGTTCGGCCCGATAAGACAAGAGCGGCAAGCGGGAAATGGCACGCGGTGGTATGGCGGTGAGTCGCTGGTGAAACAGGAAGCGCCGCGATCAACTACGCTGGAATGTAAATGGGGAATCGAGCGAGACAAAAGAAGAAGAGTCAGCGGCGAGAAACGCGTGGAAACGCGTTGCCAGCGGGGTAAAGGACCTCCGCTGTGTAAAACACAAACGAAAACCGGAACAAACTCGTTGCTCGTTCGAGTCTCCCTTTGTCAAAAAGTCGAGCGAAACTTTCGCAAACAACCGGTGAACGCTGAAGTGTCCGTAGTGAAACGAAGGAGAAGGCAACAGTTAATTTCGATGATTGCCTACCTTGCGTACCGGGAGAAATTCTTCTCCTCGCGTTCAACTTTCTGACTTGCTGCTTTCTTGCGATAACCTCCGCCGCTATGTTTTAATTTAATCCGCCATTATGTTTCACGAACGCGCGAATAAAGACGTCCGGAGCATACGCGCGTATATTTATATCTGACTTCATTTATCTCACGTTATACTCCCAATGCATGCTGATCTTACGTTCTTATCTGACCGAGTATCTTGAAATTATACTATAACCACGCTAATGATAATCCTCCCGATCCCCGCCGCATCATCTCTATACACACACACCTTCTTCCTCGTCTTTCTCTCGTGCCTCGTTATTCGCCGCGAATTAATTAGATCTCACTTGTTAGTTTTGCCGCGCGCGCGTGTACACGCATCCTCGTTCCGTGTCTTTCTTCTCTCAGCGCACGATTTTCCCTCGCGAGGGAATTAACCTACGTTTTATTTCACTCTTCGCTCGAATTTCGTTCGACAAGTCAGCGTTTCGGCAACGCGAAGATAAATCTTAAACCTAACCCAAAATTTTGTCGCGAGAAGAGAATGCGTTTCTGAACAGTTTTCGACAATGCCGTTAACGATTGCCGCGTTTACGTACCTTCGGCCAATCACAAAATGGAAGAGCTGGCAAGTACATGTGCTATAGGTACAGAAATCTCCAGAACGCGCCAATCGATGAGGAAATCAAATTCTTCAAAACTTTTTCTTGCGTCGAATGTCCGTTCGGGGGAGGAGGATGCACGTGTAAATACGTGTATACCTGTTATTGATACGCGCGTATATGACACGTGCACGCGTATGATGAAATTAATAATTAAAGTCGAAGATATTACGCAACAATTTTCGGTCAACAATTCTCCCGCGAGTGTCGCGCTTGTCGCGTTGGTTATTCAGAGCCTCGAATCGGAGATTTCGCTGGTTGCGGCGTAAACGTTTGAGAAATTTTCCAACATGGTATTTAGTACAAAGATGGTTTGCAGTTCGGGTAAGTAGATGCGAGAAAATCGAACGACACAACGTTGCTTCGGAACGAATCGATCCTGTTTCTTTTCACTTTGAGAAAAAACAATTTCGTCAAAATGGAAGCCGCTAGAACGAAGTTAAGAGGGAGTTAAATTCTAACCTCTTTAATTTTCAATCAATAAAAACGAAGCCGTTTGCTTTGTTTTCAGTACTCAGGCAAGCAGTGAAACAGCTATTTTTAGTCAAACATCTCGTTAAACAGGTAAGCAAATTCCGAGACCTAACCTCTCAATCGATCTCGAGATAAAATCTTCTTTTCTCATTGTTTTCTTTTTTTTCTTTTTTAGCAGTCTTACGGTCAATTGCGAGCAGGATCCTATTTCTCAGATCTGATAACGCAAAGGTTTTACAGTACGAAGAAAACATTTAACAGGGACAAGCCTCATTGCAACGTTGGTACGATCGGACATGTCGATCATGGGAAAACGACTCTCACAGCGGCAATCACCAAAGGTATATGCGTATATACCAATTTGCATGTACATTTGATTTCACAGTTTTTTTTGTCTCTTTCGCCTCTCAACGAGATCGTCCTTGTTTCTTTCAGTACTTTCGGAGCTGGAACTCGCCAAAGCGAAACAATATGCCGAGATTGATAACGCACCTGAGGAAAAAGCACGCGGTATAACTATCAACGTTGCACACGTTGAATATCAGACAAACAATCGCCATTACGGTCACACTGATTGTCCGGGGCATGCAGATTACATAAAAAACATGATCACCGGTACCTCACAGATGGACGGAGCTATACTTGTTGTTGCTGCTACAGATGGCAGCATGCCGCAAACGAGAGAGCATCTTCTTCTTGCCAAGCAGATCGGTATCTCTCACATTGTTATCTTCATCAACAAGGTAACGTTACATTCAGTTTTTTTTGTTCGTGCATCGTATACCGTGTGTAAATATCTCTAAAAACTCTCACTTGTCAAAAACGTGTCACATTTTTTCGCACAGGTCGACGTCGCGGACGACGAAATGATCGATTTAGTAGAGATGGAGATGAGAGAGTTGTTAACTCAAATGGGTTACGACGGAGAAAACATACCCATCGTGAAAGGCAGTGCCCTTTGTGCGCTGGACGGCACCAAGCCAGAGATTGGACGAGACGCTATATTAAAACTGTTGGAAGCTGTGGATTCTTATATTCCCACTCCCATCAGAGAATTGGACAAACCGTTTTGTTTGCCGATAGAGAACGTTTATTCAGTCATGGGTAGGGGGACGGTAGTCAGTGGCAGATTGGAACGTGGAAAGATAAAGAAGGGCATGGAATGCGAACTGATCGGATACAACAAACTAATAAAGACGACGATAACGGGAATAGAGATGTTTCACAAAACGCTGGAGGAAGCCGAGGCAGGAGATCAGATGGGTGCTTTGCTCAGAGGTTTAAAAAGAGAGGACATTAGAAGGGGTATGATAATGTGTAAACCAGGAAGCATGAAAGCCTACGATCATTTAGAATGTCAGATATACATGCTGACAACGGAGGAAGGAGGTAGAATTAGGCCTATAAACCACATGATGAACGGTCAAATGTTCTCCAAAACGTGGGATTGCCAAGCTCAGATAAACCTGCAAGGAAAAGACTTGGTCATGCCTGGTGAAGATACCACGTAAGTTTACCTTAAATTCTTAAATTCAGGAATGGAGAGGACGTGTTGCGTCGATTCAACGAGAGTATTGGATTTTTTGTTTTCAGTATTGTATTGAAATTAATAAGGCCGATGGTATGTGAAAAGGGTCAACGATTTACGATAAGAGATAGTTTCAAGACCATAGCAACTGGAGTTGTTGCCAATACTTTGCCGAGTTTGAGTGAAACGGAACGTTTAGAGCTTATCGAAGGTAAAAAGAAATTGAAGAAGCGACTGGCGCAAGCGTAATTGTAATTATTTACTGTATTTATCTCGTTTCAACTCAATAAAATCAAGTAGAATCGAATTTAACAAATACACATACGCACGCGCGCACCACCGACGCATAAATACACGAAACATACCTTTATGCGCATTATACCATCGTAGTTATTAATAATAACATTATTGCTCCTGTTACTATTGTATATATGCATTTATGTATGATTATTTGATCTTATCAAAGATCATTCCTGTTTTCAGACACGTAGGAAATTGACAAATAAACTGTTTTTCTATACGGTGTACTTTAATGATTTTACGTTTAATTTTGCAACGATCAGTTTTTAAACGTAGAGCGATTTGAAAATGTTTCAAAAAACAGTTCAACGATGATTTATTGAGGTCCAATACATCAACGGTACAAGTTTTTTCAAACAGCAGATGGGACACCGATACTTCGTACTCCTCTCATTTCTGTTATTTTTACAACCGTAGTTGTGCCATGGTGTTTGCGTACACGTTACTCGATGCGTTCAGGTGTAGTCGATTAGCAATAGAACAAAGGAATTGGGGAGGGCGGGCGGGGGTGGAAAGGAACGTATGCAACGCTTTGTTCGCTCCTCTATAACCAAACGAACGTGTTTGTATATAGAAAAGAAAAACACTGTTTATATAATTTAAATTGAACAAATCGTACATTCACCTTCGCTAATAAAAAATAGTAAACAGTCCTCGTTATCATGGACAGGACGCAACTGACTACAAACCGTGCTCCGCTTCAAGCCGAACGTTATTTCAAAATTCATACAATGCCGTGTGTTTGAAAAATCGAAGATACTCGTAAAAACGGCTGCACATCTAAGGCCGCTTCCTTTCTCTCGTTCGTTTATCGCCGGATGATCGTGTGTGTGTGTGTTTCTGTGTGTAAGGTATTAGCAAAGATTACGTGTCGTTTATTGGTAAAGATTGGACTACTTTGAGAATTTCTCAAAATTTCACGTATGTAGTGTACACATGAATGCGTACGCGCGTGAGCATATGCAGACGCGTGTGTAAACAGTTGCTTTCTAATATTAGCGTATTGATCGTATCGAAAGATTCTTTCTCACAGAATTAATTTCTTTTGCGCTAGGAAACAGCATGTCCATTCATTCCGGTACAGACGATTCGCGTACAATATTTCGGTATTTACGATATTACAAAATTAACAAGAACAATCCGACAGCTTTGACCCGACTGTACAATGAAGCAGATCGACAATTCGGTTTATCAACAAGTTATGCATTCGTTACATTAAATACATCGTTTCACACAACATACGTGTAGTACTCACGCATACCAGTATCGATATCGATCACGCATACCAATATCGATTAATATGTAAATAAAGGAAAGAACGACTTTTAATCTAGCATGCGTAAAGTATCAATGGGACAATGTGTATGTTGGCTAATGCGTACGACAATCATTTTTCTCAAATTCATTCTTATCAAATTCAACGATACTCGTACGAAATTAGACAAATCGTGCCCAATCAATTCTCACGCACGTGGATCTTGATATGCGCGGAAACGTAACGTTCAATTCCTGATATCGTTCAACTTCCAGGACAAAACTAGAGAAACGCCAAGCCGTCGAAGTATCTTTGCCATCGTTTGCCAGTTACATACGAAACGGAAGTATTCTTGTACATTATTAATTCTATTCAAGAAAGAATCTCTGGATTTGATGGAGAGGCACAGGCACGTAACGTACTCAATACGCACGCGTACGTATACGGTTTGTCCTCTCTGTTCGCATTGTACACGGGACGTGGCAAACTAAAGATCTTCATCGTCCTCAGGTAACGCTGTCTCCTGCGCTTCCTTAAGATCCTTCTCTATCTGTTGCTGCCACTGTGGATCCATTGTAACTTCTGGCGGAAGGAGGGCTGGCATTGCAACAAATTCGAGGTTTGGATCGCCGATTAGTTTACGCCCCAACCAGAGGAAAGGTTTCTCAAAATTGTAGTTGCTCTTTGCACTGATGTCGTAGTACTGGAAGAAACACGGAGATAATTATTGTTTGCAAGATGTCTTCTGCTTGAAGACTGTTCGAAGATTAGTGAAAGAAAAAAAGAAATATACCATACACGCTTGGAACGCGTTTTTACCTGAAGATTCTTCTTTCTGTGAAAGACGATGCTCTTGGCTTTTACTTTCCTATCCTTAATGTCAACTTTGTTCCCGCAAAGAACAATAGGTATATTTTCACAAACACGAACTAAATCCCTGTGCCAGTTGGGTACATTTTTGTACGTTACCCTCGATGTAACATCAAACATAATGACGGCACATTGTCCTTGAATGTAATACCCGTCTCTCAAACCACCAAACTTTTCTTGGCCGGCTGTGTCCCAAACGTTGAAACGGATCGGGCCACGATTCGTGTGGAAAATTAGAGGGTGCACCTCGACACCTAACGTTGCCACGTATTTCTTCTCGAATTCACCGGTCAAGTGCCGCTTGACAAACGTCGTTTTCCCGGTACCACCGTCACCGACGAGCACGCACTTGAAAGTGGGAATATCAGCTTGTTGGGCCATTTCAATGTATTACCGGATTAAGAGTTTACTTAAATTCTTGATATGACGAGGAGAGATCTGAAAAAGAAAGAAAAAGATAACGTTTGGATGAAAAGCTAGACGGTTGGATGAGAGAAAAATGGAAAATGCGACGAAAGAAAAGTGAAAACAATCGGATTGTCGGTGGAAAAGCCAAAAACTCGGATGGTTGGAAGTTGCTGGAAGATGCTAGATCGAGGATCGTATCACGCGTTGAAAACGTGATCGACGTGATGCCCGTTTCCAATACACACGAACAGTGTACTTGAAAATGATACGTTATACGTTTCGTATCGTGACACGAACGCACCTACGAAAATACAATTTTATCGTATTGTTTCAAGGAAATCGGAATGCCGGTTCGTCAACGTGCCACGCTTCGGAACGACTCAATGTACAAATTTACCACGTTCCACTGGGAGAATGGCGCTTCTCGTCGTAACACTGGTTTTCGCGTTAATCTTGCCACACGATCGCGTATAATCCTATCGAAACAACGAAGAACCGAATAAACCGACCGATCTATATTTATTTATCACAGGTCTGTGAAAATCGGCGAATTATTGGTACGAAATTTCCCGGCAAGTAACGTGTACGTGAAAATGACCGATAAAATTTACCCTGCAGCACAGTCGTTACGGCTCACAATGGCGTTCCTTCGAGTCGGTGAAGGGGTCCGGCGTTTTCACCATTCGTTAATTAGAACGCGATCCAATTTAACGAACGTATCCGATCGGTACACCGTGAAAAAATTAAACTGGAATATTTTTCAGTTCAGATTGTTAAAATAATACGTAAATGGTGTGTTTGTCGAAAAGTTACGATCAAAGAATGACGTGGCGAGCGACATCTATCACGTGAATGACGCGAGCGCGCCACATCGGAGCCGGTATCAAAGAGTTTCAGTTTTTAACGGGAGAATTTATACGCGCACGTACGTGCACGTATGTACCTACGTGAAACGGTATATCGGAACAGGTTCGGTGATAAACGTTTAATTTCAGCGCGTACGTTCGCTCTGCCCTTTCACGCTTTTCGCGAAATTTTTTCCCTCCTTTTTCCCCCCTCCTTTTTCTTTTCCTCCCTTTAGCGTCTCGATGGCAATGCGATACGTAACGCAGCGTAAAAGCATGGATCATAAAATTTACATTTGTTGCAACAAGTTGCCCTCGATATTCATACGATCGGCTTTACACAACCGAGGATTCCCACTTTTCCTCGGCCTATAGCCGATGAGATCAAACGTTCGACAAAGTTGAGACAGTATGCACCCACAGATATAAGCGTATATCGACAGATTGGAAGGAAGTTTCGAAAATTTTGTCGTTCGATGAAGATAGTTGGTAGAAAGAAATAAAAAGGAAAAATTCGTCCAATACGGGCAAAGTGGTAGAAAGTCGGGGGAAGTGGGAAAGGCGGGGCTACGACAAAGTCTAGATTCGGTCCTGAATGTAGTTGACGTCAGCGACGCATGCGCAACAGAACGGACGGCACTGCAGAAGCAGCCGAGTTCGCGAGTGTATCGATTTTATGATCGTGTCTCTCGCCGATAGTGTGTCCGTTTCCTTTAGTTTTTAGTTGCTCATGGTATGTGGATAAAATCGTGAATGGGATTAGTCGCTAGTCTCATCGTTCCGTACACCCGCTGACTCGCAACACTTTGTTACCCTCACCATGACCAAGGATAGATTAGCAGCTCTCGTTGCGGTGAGTTTTCGAAAAACCGTCTGCATATTTTTCGAAATCGAGCCGATTCGTCGAAACGGCCTATCATTTACGTTTCTTCTCTCTTTTCTGCCGTTGGTTTTTCTATTATTATTCTTTCGATTCATGCGTGCTCTCTTTCTGCCCCCTTTGCGAATTTCAATTTCCCCGTGTCTACGTTCGTTCAATTCTGTTATTCCGATACTCTCCGCATCGTTCGTATTTTATGACGTTCTGAGAAACGATACTCTTGTGCGGTGTACATACCTGCATATATGTGTTACTGCATATATATATGCAAGTAAATATATACGTACATGTATAGTATGTATATACGTATATGTATGTCATAGTCTATTGTTTTTTCATTCGACGAGACGAAATGTTTCTTCCGAAACCGTACCAGATATCAAACGAATCTCGTAAAGTGGAAAGAAGGCGTTTCCGCGGTGTCTGCTTGACAGTCGACCATTTGGTAGTTGAACAGAGAGAAGAACGAATGAGTGACTGAGAAAGAAACAGAAACAGATGAGAGTATAGAGAGAGAGAGAGAGAGAGAGAGAGAGAGAGAGAGAGAGAGAGAGAGAGAGAGAGAGAGAGAAAGAGAGAGTGACTGACAAATAAATAGATGAATAAATAGGTAGAGAATGAGAGATAATGTGTGTATCTCTCCCTATGTGTGTATGTATGTAGAAAGAGGAGGGGGAGAAAGGGAGGAGAGAGAGAGAGAGAAAGAGAGAGAGACACCAATGCTTCCCGTGACTGACAGGTGTTTGCCAATATAATATGTTTTTCGTCATCGTATATTTCATAACGATGACAGAGTTCTCGATCTCGGTGCTGATACGAGTGATTCAAGCAGTCACTTTCAGATGGAAAGCTTACTTTTTCCGACAATGCTCGAGCGCCGTCCTGTGATACAACGTCCCGAGTATGTTGAGACACGGGTATTTTTATAGTTTCATTGGGAGGTGACCGATCGTACGTAGGAATAGTGTCGGTGTCGATGACTCATTGTCAGAGGCATCGACTAACACTCAGGGAGAACCCTGCATCTGGGCGTATCTCACGCAGGAAAAAAGTAGGGAATTGTTATAAACGCCTGTCATGCCGACAATCCTTTCTTTTCTTCTCTCTCTCTCTCTCTCTCTCTTTCTCTCTCTTTCTCTCTCTATATTGTAAGAAGAAAATTTTTCAGCTTATTTTAAAATTTCGATCACAGTATGAAAGGAAGCGATTCGTATCCGAATTATTTTACGTTTGCGTAGTGTTTACAATAGATAGTTCACAGCCGAAATAAATATGTACTTTAGAAGAAAAAAAAAAAAAAAAAAAATGGACGACTCGTAGGCTCTGTTTTCCAATACAGTTGAAAATGACAGTCAAAGCGAAGCAAATTACACGAAAAAAAAAAAGATAGGAAGTAAAGGAGACATCTACTACTCACGGTAACGTGTGCACGTTAAAGTGTTATGTACATGTTAAAAAGGATCGAGACGAATGTGCGCTTGTTGCGCCTGTGTAATGCCCAATGATCAAAGCAATGTAATAGTTGGTTTCAACTGATTTACCGGGTGAGCCAAAGTAGATATCCTTGGGAAAAAAAAAAGGAAGGAATTACACTTTTGTTTTTGCATTGTAACGTATTGTTACGAGAAAGTGCGTATCGCGTGGTAATCTCGATATCGATATTTATCTTTAATCACTCATTTCGAGTACAAGACGAACGCGAGTAAGAGTCTTTTGGTAAGAAACGAGAGGAACGAGGAAAACAATTGGACAGTGTCTGGCGAATTTTGTCACGAGCCTGCGCCTAGTTAGTTAGATAAACGAAGAAGGTTGGGATAGAAGGTTAAGCGGTACACACGTAAACACACACCCACAGATACATTTGCATAGAGACAGAATTCGAACGAGAACGAGATAGAATACGCGTAACACATTACCGATTGATTATTCGGTATTTAGCGATTGTTCGACGCGTTGATTGTTCGAGAATGCGTGTTTCACTATACAGGATGTATCGTATCGATCGTATCGGACTCGACGATGTTTATCATGCGTAATTACCAAACTTTTGATTTGTTGGTCGACGATAAACGCGTATCGCGTAACGATTTGTTTAACAGCAGGAGCATTAAAATTAAAAAAAAAAAAAAAAAAAAGTAAATGAATGAATGAAATAAAAAATAATAATATGCGGCGACTCGTCCTTTTTTCTCCTAAGTCGTTTTTGTTCGTTGAGCAATTTGAAAGGCTGAACAATGATGTTGGGTTCATTGCGTGTCGCAATTAATTACCGGCGGATCGGCCCACTTGCGGGATGCGAGAGAGATCCGAAAGAGATTCGCGCACGAATCGGAAAAGTGAAAAGTGTATGAAAGTGTTACTAACGAGCAACGTCGATCTGTTTCAGGCCCAGTCGGACGACGATGACGTGGCGGACGATGTGTCCGTCAACGTCGGCGGGCCCGATGATTTCATGACCGAATTCTTCGCGGAGGTGAGTATAACAATTAACAACATAACCGATTAAATGCCGTTTCCAGGTGAAACGCGAGCGCGGTGATTTCTCGTCGTTGGCAAAACGCTTGCTCTCCCCCCGCTTTCTCTCTGCTCGTCGCCGTGTCTCCACGGCAACGAACAATATCGCCCTCTCATCTCTCGTCCCTCCCTGCCTTTTTCTCCCCAGTCGTCCAATCTTTCAACCCGTGCTCCATCTCATCTGTTCGCTCCATTTCCTTCCTCGGATCGTCATCTCTTCTCACGAATGGCAGCTTGCTTTTTTCTTTCTTTCTTTCTTTCTTTCTTTCTCTCCTTTTTCGTCTCTTCTCGAGAATTATCCGAACGTGTGGCGATAAGTAACGACAAGTAGTAGTAACGCGCCTGTAGGACGCGATCGAGGATAATCGATACGTTTCTGCTTCGCTCTGTGCTACGTAAGTAAGTACGGAGTAAGTAAGTAGCGGCTATATCGGGAAATGAAGAGTCGAGTCGCGTGGAGAAGGAGGGGGGAGGGAGGGTGTTTAGGGGGCTGTAACCGAATCGATCGATCGGTTTATCTATCTGATCCGGTTGGAATGGAGATTGGAATTGGAGTCGGATTGTCGGTTCGTTCGTTCGTTTGTTCGGGCGATTAGGCGAAACCATTTCCCTCTCGGAGGGAGGAAAAGGTGGAATTTCCACATTTGCGCTCCTCGCGCGAAAAACCTGTCTATCAAAATCACGTGTGAATGCCATCGTCGCGGCTAGATTCTGCACGTTTCGATCGTTGGAGACCTGATTTGAAAAATACTGTGCAAAATTGTCCTTGGCCGGTTCCATCAAGGTCAAAGTTTTTTTATCGTTTCGTCGTGATCTAGTCGTCGAGGGGATAAAAAAAAGTCTCCGGGGGGGGGGGGGGCGACCATGTGCCGGAAGCGACCCCTTCTCTCGGAAAACGATGTCGAAACATCCACAATTTTTAAATTCATTTTATTCGTTGTGTTGTTATGTTTTATAGCGAGATATGGCATATCGTATAGAGTTTATACTGTATAAATTTATATTTTATTAATTGTATTATTTATTGTTTATTTATTGTATTTTATTTATTTATTTATTTATTTGTTGTATTTTATTTATTGTAATTTATTGTTATATTTTATTTATTGTATTTTATTGTTATATTTTATAGCGAAATATGGCATATCGTGTAGAATTTATACTGTATATTTATATATTTATATATTTATATATTTATATATATTATATTAATATAATTATATTTATGTATATTTATATTTATTTATATTTATTTATATTTATATATATTTATGTATATTTGTATATATTTACGTATATTTGTATATATTTATATATATTTATATATATTTATTTATATTTATGTATATTTATATATATTTATGTATATTTATTTATATTTATATATATTTATGTATATTTATATATATTTATTTATATTTATATATATTTATTTATATTTATATATATTTATATACATAATACTGTATATTTTTATATAGAATATTTTTATACAATGTAAATTCTACACGATATGCCATATCTCGCTATAAAATATAACAATAATACAAATAAAAAAATGGGTTTAAAAATTATGGAAGTTTCAACATTGTTTTCTGAGAGAAGGGGTCGTTTCCGACACATGGTTCCCCCGAGACTTTTTCATACTCTCGATGAGTAGATTACGACGCAATGATAAAAAAAAAACTTCGACCTTGAGGGAACCGGCCAAGGACGATTTTGCACGTTATTTTTCAAACGGATCTCCACCGATCCAAAAAAAAAAACGTGCAGAATATCTGTGATAGTTTTTACACGTAATTTTGGTACAAGTACGTACATGCCTCGCTCATGCAACGAACTTGCCTCGGTAAGTAACAAATTGGAGATCGAAATCTCCAGAGCCGTAATGTCGGACTTGATCCCGATAATTCCGCGATAGAGGCGGGTTTATCTAGATTGGAAAGATACGTGCATGTGTGTGTGTGTGTAAATGTAAAAATATCACACGTACCGGCAGTGGTGTGACGCGAATCCGGAGTTGGTCCATGGACGAACAAGGGAGAAAGCAGTTACAGGAGATGGAAACGTGTCGATATCGTAACGCGAGAAAATTTCTGTTTGGACGGTGCTCGTCTCGATATTGGGGAATTAGGTCGAGACGATTCCGAGCCGAATGGCCGTATCGCGCGTCACGTGTCCCGTGCGAAATGCATCAAATATTTCCACCACCACCCCTTATTTCCGATCCACCTTCTCGACAATAGAGCGCCGCGCCGATCTTGTGATTGAGTCGCGCTGCACTTAGGCAGGTGTGGGTACTCGCATCCCCACCTGCTCGAAAGTCTCGGGACAAATGCAATCACTTGATACACATTTCAAGAGCGGAGAGAAAATTAAATAGTCGAGGAAAAATTGACGCTCTTACTAATTTTAGGGGAGGGGGGGGGGGGATGTTCAGTCATCGGGACCGTAACGAATTTACTGCAGTTGGCGAACAAAATTTTCGACAGAGAAAGTACTTCTGGTTGGCCTCTTGAAAGAAAATGACCGTAGAACCGTGTCTGGAGGGAATAAACTCGATACTATGAATCTAGATAGTGCACGAACAATAGTTTCCGTGTCCACTGTACGTTAACGCTTCGCAGATTCCTGCGAGTTTAACATTTCACAAGGAATTTTAAGAGAGTATGTTATTTTTATCTCCAGGGGGCTTTTTAAAGTCCTATCTCGTATTATCAGTTTAGTTTATGTTATCAAGTACTAGTTTTAATTTTTTTTATATTATCAAGTGTAATTTATATTACCGAGTGTATTGTATCGTGTCATATTGTCAATTCTTCTACTTTTTTTGTTCGGTACGGTTGATCGATAATTGGTAAACAGGCAACTCGATTCGAACACTGAACATGTGTCAAAAAAATCTTAGGAAAAATGTCCTAACGAGGGAACACACCGGAGTGTGAATGTTTTCAATGAAATTTGTTTACCAATAAATGTAGTTTCTTCAATATATTATTTCTTACGCTAAATTCGTAGTCGAAGAAACGCAAATTTCATCGATTTACAAAAAAAGAAAAAAAAAAAAAAAAAACGATATCTTCGACGATTTCCGAGATATTTGACAAAATATGTGTTTCGCACTCGCAACGTTGAGGGTAGTTTTTAGGGTAGTTTTCAGGGTTAAATATTTTTTCTTTATGCCAAATTTCGTCAAAGTCGATGATTCACAAATTCAGTATCTTCCCTTGTAAGACTTTCGAGCGGCTTTCAGTGTACTTTGATCGTGCTCGACGCCGGCTTCGTTGTTTGGCAAAATGTGAAATGGAGTAACGCGGAACAATGGAAATTAAAAGCGACGCGATCCCACGCATCTCACGTTCACAAGCGATTTTGACGTGGAGAACTCCGAAAGTGCAAATAGCAACTGTGTGACATTTGCGTTCGTAGCTGTTTCGCGTGGGCTCGTATCGCTTGTTTAATTTTTTTTTATAGGCGGTGGCCGCGTGGGAAGAGACAATTTTATCAAAGGTCGGGAACATCGATGCGAATCGTTGCCATGGAAACGGAAAGATTCCCTCGGAAAATTGGTTACTCGCGTCTCTCGTTTTCGTTTCCTTTCGTCGCGTGCCACCACCGCATTCCCACTTTCCTTCCTCGCATCTCGTCGACCGATGCGCGTTGAACGTTTTGCTATCTGTTATGCGTAAGTACGTATCTACTTACGGTGGCGAGCAAAACTGAACGCACACGTGGATTTTTAACATTAACGATATTTTGTGGTTTGTCTGCACGTAGAACGCGAAGAAAGCAAAATATGCACTGTTTTGCAGGATGCTTTCCAAAAGAAATTTGGTGACCTCGTCACTGTTCTGGCAAATATAAATTGTACTCGCAGAGTGAGTTTTTCGCCGAGATTAATTTAAATTGAAAAATTGTTCGATTAATTGTACTTTAAACTGTTGTAACTTTGTTAAAAAAGATGGTACAATAATCTACCCAATGGTCTCATTTTAAAATATAAAGCTCATGTTTTCACAACCCTAATTACCCTAGTTTTTTTTTTACTCAAGATATTTCGACACTAACGCGTAACAAATGGATAAGTGTTGTTTGCAAAAATTCACGCATATGTAAAAACAGTGGAAAATTTTATTTACGACTGAATCCATCACCGTCTTGAAGATATAACCCCTTAGAACTTGCTGCATGATTTTTCAAGTCATTCTTTGAACTTTGAGCATTAGAGTTAAACAACAAAAATTCAAAAAGTTCCAACATTCGGGACCTAACTTTTAACGTTCAGAGTTCAATAAAATTGCAAGAGAAGGGAGAAAATCGTGCAGCGTTGTAAGGAGAAAATTTTCGATACCACCGCTTTTACAGATATTTGAATTTCTGCAATTTTCGAGTGCAAGATACTCTCTTACACGGTGTGAAAATACGCTTTGAAAAAAATGAGACCAAGCACATCCTTATATGATTTTCTTTTACAAAGTTGTAACAGTTTGAAGCAGAGGTGGCTAACTGGCGGCCCGCTGGTCCTTGCCCCTACTTTCTTGATCGTTACCCCCACTACCGCGTCGATCCCCTCCACTACGTTGAAACTTGCTCGCCGTGCACGAGCTCACTCCCCCATTGATGCAGTGGAGGGGGTAGCGCTAGGCGATTAGGAAAATAGGGGCAAGGGCCCGCGGACCGCCACTGGTTCATTAAGTATCGACAATTTTTTTCATCGTTGCGTTCAGTAATGCACCTTGCCGTATGTACGTGTATCAATTGCGAAAAGTCGCTACCGAACAATTTATCCTTTAATTTCTTTGGATTTGTAATACGACGTTACCGTGCCGCCATTTACTCAAACACCGGTTTGCCATCAATGGCTAACTTTTCCCTCTTTAATACCTTGTATCTCTACGTATGTATATCTTACGTTTTCCTCCTTCATTTTCATCGTATACCCAATTCACAATCATTACGCTAATTTCTTCTTTCGTTTCTGTTCTCGGTATGTCCTCCCGACACCGCCACGCGGTTTAACGTCTCGCAATGTTTTCCACAGGTGGAGGAGATCCGCGAAATGATAGACAGGATCCAGACGAACGTAGAGGATGTGAAGAAAAAACATAGTGCCATCTTGTCGGCACCACAGACCGACGAAAGTGAGTCTCAACGATCTCTTTGTTCTTATTTGTCTCACGTCTCGTGTCGACCGAACCATCGCGTCCTCGGTCACATCGAACGATTAACAATGCGTTGTCCACGTCCAGAGTCCCATCGTACGATCGTTGCTGCTGTTTGCTCACGCCAATTTTGCAACGCGCGTTCGAGATTAGAGACGACCGTGACTCGGGCAAAAAAGAGAAAACGCGATAGTAGAAAGGGAGAGGGGGCAGCAATTAACGAAGATCGACCTTGATCTCGTTACTATCGTTCACAGGGATTGGATCATATAATTGTTTCTTTTTTTTTTTTTTTTTTTATTTTGCAATTTCGCGCGACGTCTTTCCTTATTTTTCCAAAAATATGTAATTGATAATTCTTTTTTCTTTCTTCTCTCTGGTCTTCTTTCTTGTCCCTTTTTCTTCCTTCGTCGACACCACTATAGACATATCGTATATCGTCTACTTGCTAGTTGAAACTATACGTCTATTATTTCTGCTCGCATTACTCGGATGTTTGCGACATGATTCTTACTTTAGCGATAAGTAACAGAACAACGTGGTGATTACTTTAAATCGGATGTCTTTTATATATAAAAATAGACGAGGTTGGCCAAGAAGCAACTGCGTTTTTTTTTTATCACGAGAAATGAAAGCTTCATTTAGACGACGTGTTGTTCATTTCGTTCGATTATGCCTTTTACCATCTTTCAGGCAAATTTCACGTTCAAAAAGTTCTTATCCTTCTCGACCAAAAAATAGCTCCAAGAACGATTTGATATTCTCTTCGTCAGTGGTGAAATTTAGCAAACCAATTCTGACACAGGCTTCTTTAAGGCTTCTTTACCACACGTACACGTCTAGATAATTTTTTACGAGCGCTTGCACAATGTTTTTTTTTTTTTTTTTTTTTTCCTCTTCAAAGATAGCAGAAAATGTTCCACTCTCATTTTCCATTTGTGAAATCGACGCCAAACGAACAATTGTCAACGAGATCTTGCATTTTTTTTTTCTAAAGCAAGCTTGAACAATCGAATGTCAGATTGCATTTGCGATTTAAAATAAAATTAGATACATTTGAAGATGTACACTAGAAAAAGGGTCAATTACTTTTTAGCCAACTCGATACTATATTTTTCCATTGTTAGAATTTGTTCGTATACTTTGAACTAACAATATTTCCAATTGTGAAAGATATATATATATATAATATTTTATTATATTTATATTATATATTTTACTATTTTATTTTATATATTTTTTTATATAATTATTTACTTGTATATACATATATATATGTATACAAATATTTTTTAGCAATCTTAAATATTTTTTTCACTGATTCTCTATCACTTTAGTGGACATAGATTGTAATTATTGTTTTATTGTTTGCCAGAGAAACACAAATTACTCGAAACATCGGGTAAAATTGTATCTGACGAGTCGAGTAATGACACTCTAACCTCAATTATCTTGTAAGATATTCGGGCACCTGGGTACATCAGATAATTGAGATCACACATTTATTATTTCTACACGAGTGTTTACAAAATGTAATTTTTACTTTAGCGATAAATACTAAAACGACAGAGTAATTATTTTAAATTGAATAGTAGGGCTCGTTTGCCTTCGAACTAATAGTTGTGAAAGAAAAATACTCTTTTAGAGCTGGCAGATGTCGCTAGTGTACGTCAATATTTTTTACCAAGTTTCAACAGTCTTGGTTACTCTGCTTGTCACAGAAACACAGATAAAATTGTATCGACTGTTCGGATATCCGACGAGTCAAGTAGTAATAACTCTAGCCTCAGTTATGTCAGATATTCGGGTACTATTTCTAAAGGTATTATCTCTATCGCTTATCGTCTATCACGTGGAATTCCTGTCTGCCAATTTTTCTTCGGCAGTACATGCATGTATTTTATGTACAAGGTGGGCCGAAAGTCCTACTATATATATATATATTTACATATATTTATTTATTAATTAAATTTTTCTTGTTGAATTTGAAAGAAATGTTGTATATAAAAAAACTTTAAAACATAAGTATGTCACGTTTGAATTACTTAAATTTAATTTGTTTAATTTAATTCAATTAAACAATTAAATTAATTTAAAAAATTTAACTTAATTTAAAATTTAATTTAAAATAATAAAATTAGTTTTTCCTTACGTTTCAATATTTTATTAAAAACAAAACAAAAAAAAAACATAGGTGAGAAGAAATAGGTGCTTTTAGCCCACACTGTAGATAAAACGTACAGCACGTGCAGGAAAAAGCGAGGACTAGAAAATACTGTCAAGTATCTCTATCGCCAATAATTTACAGTCTCTCTCTCTTTCTCCGTCAGTGGTCGAAGATTGCCGCCAGTATAATTCTCGGTTTTTCAATCGCTCTCGTAGCCGTGGCGTAAATTCGAAAGACGAAATAACGCCGTACGGGTAAAATCGCGAAGGCATGCGCGCTTGGAAAGCGGAGGCTGGGAAATTTCGCGCGGCTGATCTCCGTTTCTCGCGGAGAACAGAGAGACGACAGAGAATTCGCTGTACGTGCGAACGAGCAGAAGCGGAGCAGAGAGTGAGAAACTGGAGAGGACGCGATCGATGCACACGCCGCCGGATCGTGCACACACACGTACTTTTTCGTCTGACTTTCGGCTAACTTGCAAGCGACCAGAAAGATCGATCGAGCTCTGCCTTGCTCCTCTTGTTTTTCAGCGAATTCACTCCCGAAAACGAGACATGTATGTCGCATATATCGTGATCGCGCGATGTAACGAAACGATCTTACCACCGAATCTCGATTGAAACAAAGGAGGAAGGGAGGAGATCGATCGGGGGACAGCTTTTCGAGCGCGAGTCGCACATTTTGGAGTTTAGGCAGAGAAAACGAATCCCCGAATTTAACAGTTTGCGTTACCGGCCAATCTGCTCCCAGGACCCGCACATTTTTGGAGCGATTTGGGAAACTTTGTATTACAATGCATAAATGCACTTCTTCAATTCACATTGATAAAGTATCCTTAAGTGTTACTATATACTTTTTTATAGTAATATTTAAGAAACTATATTTATCGTGTATTTTAGACTTTAACTATTATTTATTTTATATTTATGATGCCAGGGTCCACACATTTTTGAAGCAACTTTGTACAATGCATATATATGCACTTCTTTAATTCATACTGATAAAATATTCTTAAATGTTACTATATACTTTTTATAGTAATATTTAAGAAACTATTTATTATGTATTTTAGAGTTTAACTATTTATTTTATATTTATATTTAACTATCATTTTAGATTTTAACTATT